CTATGTGTACTGTAACACTCGTTCTTCCTTCTTCGAACGAAAACACAATGTCACGCGATGCGCGTAAATATAAATTTCATATTTATTTTATTTTCATATCCCAAGTATTTCTTTCCAGCGCCGAGAACGGAGAGGTTATTCGCATGAGAAAAGCACACTCGGAGCAATCGATTTCCCCTTCACTCGGAAAAGCGAACGCGAACTCTGCGCTATCGATACACCTTCGCTTCAATCCGGATGTATGTCACTTATCAACTTTCAATAAATCGTTGCGAGAAAAATACTTCTATTATTTTTTTTATCAAACATCAGTTTGAAATTTATTTCGTTATTATATAAGTATAATAAACATCCAACTACGATAAGAACTGATAATTTGAAAAAAATGTTTATATTCTTCCTTCATAACGCTTCAACATTTTTACGGCATTATAAATACAATTATTTTGTTTCAGAATAAAAAAAAATACAATAGTTAAATTTAAATCTAGTTTACGATAGGGGCGTAAAATTAATAATTCTATGTTTAATAAAATATTTTAAGTCCTACTTCACAAGTTAATCATTGAGTAAGTTAAGGCAAAGTTTTTTTAGTCGAATTTTTTCGACTTTGAAGAAGCTAAATACTGAACTAGACGGATTCTTACCTCGCTTCATCGGCGAAAACAAACTTCCGGAGCTTGAGGTCCCTCAACACGACCCCGTACTCATGACACGTGGCCACAGCCCTGGCCGCCTGCCGGAAGAGCCGCCTTGCTTCAGGCTCGCGCAATCTCCTGCGTGCCCTTACGTAGGCGTGCAGGTCACCGTGATGGCCCTCCAAGAGGAGATAACGCCGGCCTCCAGGTGCCTCCACTACACCAGCCACGCCGCTCGCCGCGCCGGTGCCCTCCAGACGAAGGTGGGCCTGCAGCAACGCCTCGCAACCTTTGTCGCCCACGGTCAACGCCTGCAATCCGGAAATGCAGCGGAGTCAGCAACAAAGACAATTGCAATAAGTACTGTCGTTAAAAATATTGTTAACATATGCCGGAACTCCACAATCTGCGTCAAGACTTGTGCGTCAAATCTGTATTACTAGATAGAGTTTCATTCCTAATTGCAATTACTTGTCATAATTAATTAATTGACAGTATTTTTCATTATTCATTATTTACTGCATTTAACTTTTAAGTAGATAAGATACTCAGAACACCCCACAAAATTTTATTTTTATCGTTACATTTTTTGATAATACACTCTCTAAATCTGAATCAGTAGATAGTCACTAATCCAGTGGCATACTTTGTACTGATAATTAGTGAAATTCAATTAAGAAAGGAAGAATGTGTGTTTGAGCATTATATAACTAAAATACATATATATTTGCACGTCAATTTCAATCTTCCAATACCATATTCATTGAATTTAAGCAATTATTTTATATATTAAATTGTATATTTAATTAATTAATATATTAAATTATATATTTAATTTTATATATTAATTATTTAAGCAATTTTAATATTAAAATAAGGTTAGTTAGATCACACATTAAATATTAGCTAGATTAGGGATCTCACATTTAATTCACTGATTACCATACTTGGTATTGATATCAGTGATTATCTACTGATTTAGATTTAGAGATCAGTTATTTAATATGTATAAGTGTAAAAATAATGAACTTTAAGATTTCTGAGCAAGGCTTTTTATTTTCCTTTTTCAGAACAAGGTTTTTAGAGATGATTATTGCGTGAGATACTGTGATCACTTACTTAAAGGTTAATTAATATTCCTAATTAATAAGTCTTTATTCCTAGAACGGGTTTCAATATAATTGTATATGAGCTAAAAGTGGATTGAATAGAAGTTAAAAGGACGGATATGCTTCTTTCTTTTAACAAGTATGCTTGACGGAAATTCAATATACCGGCTGTATCAATTTCTGTGTTCAATTTCGGTTCGAGTGGAAGTGAATTTTATCGTAACGAGCTTCAATTATTCCAATATCCGTAAGAGAGCAATATTCACTTCGCATATTTAAATGACGATAATTAAGATACGTGATTCTTTATCTAGTTTTATAATCTCGAGGTTTGAAGCTGATAAAATTATATCCGCTCCAATTTTTCCAATTATTTTAATTAACCGAGTTCAGATTTCAATATCAAAGTAATTTGACACTGAAGCTATATATATTACATATAATTATATATTTGATACAATTTTGATTATAATTAACTCTTGATATAATATAACAAATAAAAAAATAAGAAAGGGAGTAGAATCTAATCGATTGTAGATTTATATATATATATTTATTTATATAAATAATGTTTTTTTTTCGACCCTTGCCTGCAAAAACTCTGTGTGTTATGAAAACTACCATACAATAAACGAAATCGATCACTTTTGAAACTCTACTCGTCCAGCTGTTCATCTCTCTGGCTCGTGTCGAAACCTGACACCGTTTCGACATTCGAGTCCCATTAGTTTAATAAGAGCACCGTGCATTCTTTACGAAATCACCCCGATCGACCACCGGACGCGCTTTTGTAATGCCTTGAAAAAATGCACCCAAAACTCGCTCGCGGTTTTTGGTAAAAGAAGAAAGATCAGCTTTTTGGGTAAACTCGACAGTCAATTCAAATGTCATCTAACTTTTCAGCAACTTGTCAAGTGCACTGAGAAAAAAAAAGACTTAAAAATATGTTTATTTCATTCCAAAATAAATCCTTATTTAAATCCTCATTTAAGTACGAAATAAAACTACTCTTAGCAAATAAGCCATCTACTTAATTTTTTTTTACAATTAATAAGAAAAATAAGATATTTACAGAAATATATAGTCTGTCATCAGATTTTTTTTATAAGCAATAAATATCGAAGAAAATGTCACAAGTAACACTTACTTTTGAATATTTCAACTTTTTTCTCAGTGTGCTATATAATTAATAAATATATGGAATAACGGTTGTCGATTTCTTTTTTACTTATTTTACAGAAAAATTTTTTTCGCGCGAATTCGTCTCGAATGAAACTTTACAAGTATGCAGAGTAATAAAAAAATATGAATAAAAATATGAATAACAACAATGCACGCTTTCTCTTATAATACACGTCTTTGACTCGCAACTATTTCGAGAAGAGTTAATGGCTTTAGTCTGGCTGCGACCCCCTTTCTCCGAAATAACGGTGACCCCTATTTCTTCTTCCTCCGAAATCACAATCGCGGTTCGCACAGCGCGGACACGCTTGCGAAAGCGCGCGAAGCTCTCGTGTGTAATCGTCAATTAAATTAAACGACCGTGGCTTTAGAAGCGATTATGAATAACGGACAGTGGCGATACGCGACGGATGTCACGAGGAGAGAGAGAGAGAGAGAGGCGGGTGCGAGGTGACACAACCTTGTATTTGTTCACAACGCCGATGATGTAAGCGATTCATTGTATAACGCGTGGCGATTGTAAAATGTTAGTGGAAAACGCAGTGGGGAGGAAAGTCCACGTTAAAGATCCTATTATATCAGAATCTGGCCACGAGCGATTTTATCAAAATCCTATGAGAAAGAAAGATATATATAATTTCTTCCTGTATATGTAGATATACTATTTATCATCTCACTTTGGCTTATACACTGGAAAAAAATAAAATTTTGATAAATATTTGTTTGAATGATTCCAAGTAAATATTTAGTAAATGTAAACATATATTTATTTGATACAAAAATCATTAATGTGATTTAATTATCTTCTTTTTTTTATTGAGTGAATATTTATGTACTTGTAAGTAAATGTTTAGTGCTATTCAAGGTCTATTAAGATTTAGTAAATTTTTTTTAGTGTACTTGTATCTCATTCTATGTTTTTAATTAAAATTCTAAAGTGAAGTTAAGAATGAGATAGTTTATGTACAGGAAATTTATATACTTTTTCCTCTTGTATGATTTTAACAAAAATGTTCGTGACTAGATTCTGATATAAAATTTAATTCATGCCAGCTCGTAGTCACGTATTATATATATGCGATAGTTCCCTTCGAGCGAGTTACAAAGAGAAAGAAGAGAGCGAGAAAAATAAGGAGAACCGCGAAACCTTGAGATCCTTCTGCGAATATGAAATTTCGAGATATAGACACGATTCGGTGCAAATAAACATAAATAAACATAAACGGATCCGAGGAACAGGAAACGACTTGCGTGCGTGTTACGTTTGCATATGTACTTTGATTTAACGTAACGAAGTCCGTCGTTATCGATGCAAAATGCTATAAGATGCAAATGATATAAGTCTTGATTTCACGAAACTTTGAGTTAAAACGCTTTCGATAAGAATCGCACGGGAAATCTGGAACAACGGCATGTTATAAATATTAGAAGTATTAACGTTTCTTATTCACTAATACCTGTTTCCATCAATGTAGATTAATTTTAATCTCGGTTCAATTTACTTCTCATCTCTTCTAAAGATTAAATAAAAATGAAGATACGAGTAAGTTAAACTGAGATTAAAGTTATATCTATATTGATGGAAACGAGCATTAAAAAACTAATGTTCATTTCCACCAATGTAAATTAACTTTAATCTCGATTCAACTTAAACACAATGAAAAGAATAGGCAATAGGAACAGGGAATTTTAATATTTTGAAAAATCTTATTTTCTGTTCTCTCTCTCTCTCTATCTAAAATGGCTTTATAAAATAAATAAAGTCTTAAGCCATAAGAAATTGACCCATCACAATCGAATGTGAGAATAATAATAATCGACTATGATTGGCCAAATTCTTACTTAAGACTTAAAGCTTAGATAATGGGTTACTGTAGAAAGACCATTAATTTTTTCTAATTCTAAAAATTAGAAAAAATAAACAATATATTAGGTGTTGGAATTAATTCGTAGCGTTTTTTAATGAAAGAATGTTATTTATTTCACATGAGCATTAAAAAATACATTAATGAAAGTACTTCCCATCACTTGTAAAACGCTACGAATTAATTCCAACACCTAATAAAAATAAAAAGTGTAAGTTGAACCAAGATTAAAATTAATTTATATTCATAAAAATGAGCATAAGCGAATACACTATGAAAATTACTATTATGAAAATAACGAAAATGATAAAAAATCAAACGTTTTATCAGTAAACAGGACATAATTATTGAAAAATAGAAAAATTCAGAATCCTACCTTTCACGAGAAAGATAATATTAATCTAAAAAATAAAAACGATCATTAATAACCACTCAATATTTTAATGTTAAAAGGAAGAAAAAACCGATAGGTTCCTTTATTTTTCGACATCCTCGGCGTACTCAAAACATCTCGACCTCAAATCATGGACGAGCGATTCTATTGAACGGATATCTCAACGGAAATCGTTTTTTTCTCCCTTCAATTAGGATTAATTGAGTCTTCCTCTAGGAAGTCGTGAAGGTTTCCCAGACGAACACCGTTCGGTTGCGTCGTCGTTGATCTCGCAACGAGCTTCACGGTGGAAGCTTCGATCGACCCGAACATTAGCGAACCGTTACGTCCGTATGCTCTATTATATAACGCCACGGCAGTTGGATGGAAACTCGGCAGCTGCAGTGCGCCGCGGATGCATCCACGTGCGATGGCGCGCTGCGTCGCCTTTATATGCCGCGCCAATGCCGCATTATACAGCAAGAAGCTAATTCGTGATATTGCCATCGGGTATTACGAAACCTTGGTTATTTATCGCGTTAGCCATTTGTGCCGTTATTATATAAGAATGCCGTTCGGAATATCAATTTCTGTTGTAAATAGTACCTTTTTTTCCCTCGACGTGTTAGGAAAGCAATATTTGAGAAATAAGCAATATATAAAAAAATCAGTTCTAAAATTAAAATAGATCTTATAAAATTATCACGTGTATTGCTGGTCGTTTAATAATATACTGTTTACTTGCTAATATATAGGCTGCGTTCAAAAAACAAAGGCCGCAGCAGATTTTTGCATACGGGTGGGAGTATCGAGTATCTTGCATTAACACATAACGCATAAGAAAATGAATCAACCAAAGTCCTTCATTTTCTTTCTTTCCATAAAATAAAAGATTCTTATACTTTATGCGTTATGCATTGTGCAATCGTTAATTCCTGTCCTAACACTGTATAATGTATAAAGACTAAGGAATTTAACCAAAGTATGAAATGAAGGACTCTGATTGATTGATTCGCTTATATCTTATACCTTATGCGTAATGCAGCGTTATGCGTTATGCAAAATTCTACTATGACCTTAACTCATTGTCAGTGAACATTTATTATTATGATCGGTTTGTACAGTTTAAATTCAACAAAAAATTAAAGATAAACATATTAAAAAATCACTGAGCGTTTATTGAGCAATTTGTCTTTTAAACACAGCCTCTGTATTGCTAATGGAAGAAGTTACATTATATTTAAATATAAGGAATAAATATACCTTCTGCTGATTTATTGTCGAGATATTACGATGTACGAAATATTTAGCTAATAGTTTCTAGTAGTCGCTAAGATTTTATAGAAACATAGAACAAGATTTTTACGATCCATGTTGGAGCTGAAGCGATGAAAATGAACCGATTTGTAAAGGAATCTCGAGTCTAACCTTGGCGACAAGTTGCTGATCGTTGTGCACATCGACGCATCGATAAAGAGCGCTACCTTCGGCCGGACCAAGAAGCAGGAATCGATCCCCCAATATAGTTGGGCTCCCGTGAAGGTCGGTGGGCACCGACTCGCAGCTCGGAAAGACGCAGCCTGGAACCACCGCGCTGCTCTCGTCGCTGGTCGAATGCTGCTGTTGCTGCGGCGACGGCTGCTGATGGACAACGTCTTGACTATTATTGGTACCGACCAAGAACTTGCCATTATTGATGCGGGTCGATACTTGCAGATGCAATGGATGTTGCCTGGCCACTCTCATGTTGCGCGCACACACAGATACGCACGCACACGCACGCACACGTATACACTCGGTGTGTATCACTCGATGCAGCCGTTACTCTGGCGTCCTGTACCGTGTCCTGGTTCACGCGGGATCGTAGTGAGATGCGTTGAACACACTTCGCGTCACTTGGACTTAGCACTGAATATTACGACTCGAGTATCCGACATTTGTATATACAAAGAGTACGGAGTTTCGCAAGAACGGTCTTGGCTCCTCTAAGCTCTAAACGCGTTAACTATTAGTTACAAATATCACTTGTGCTTTTGTTGACCCGTGCAGTGTCGTTTCGCAGTGTCGCTGCACTGGGTCCTTGGACGGAGAGAGATCTTCGTGCGTTATCAGTCGGTCGCTCTCTACAAGAGCTGATCCTGCAACACGAAAGGACTGTTGTAATGATGGCTAGTTATTTCCAGAGTTAAGGCTACTTAATCTATAATGTGCTCTTTGCTTTTCGTGTCTTAATTTTCACCTGTTTCTCTCTTGATGATAATTTTATCGACAATCGCGTTTCTCGTCACATATTTCTTATCTCTTCCAAGGTTCATCAACTTTGGACGACAGAAAATGAAAAAACAGGAATAAATTCAAAAAGAAAGATAAAAAGCGATAAAAAAAACAGGAAGGATACAAAGAGAACACTGTAGATTAGATTATTTATTTACGAAGAAAATGTAGCTCGCGTTACATTTCAAAGTCAAAGTACGAGTCTATATTTACTACTACAACCTCTTTTATTTAAATTCGAGACAGAAAATACCGGATCACGATAAATCGACGTTGCATCACGGCTTCCTCTCAGAGACGCCGCGCTACATCCCTTTCGTTATAAAAAAAAAAAAGAGGTATCTCCGATAATCCGCACAGGTGGCCCTGGCCAAAATAGCAGGAGAGGCAT